GGCACATTCTGCAGATCCCGATGAACGACGTGTCAGGTTTGCGATACCAGAAGAAGAGCCAGATGTAGAGCCCCTTTCAAGAACGACGACAGTGGAATCTTCGCTAGCAATCGATGGAGAAAGAATGACTCCAGAAGTTCCAGGTCAAGGAGACATCAATGAGAATGGAACCGAAACCGTTGGTGAGACTACGAACGGCCAGGATGTAGCCAAGCCAAAGAAGAAGGCTCACAGAGGGTCGAGAGGAGGAAAAAAGAAGAGAAAGGCACCCAAGGAAGAGGATGAGATTGGACGCATTGTAGAAGCCGCGAAACAATTGGATCAAGATCACCCGTTGCAGCCTGATGAAATAACTATCAACGGCGGGAATGTCCAAGATATCTCGAACATCAAGAAGTATGTTGAGCAAACTCAGTCTCACATGGCAATGCTAACAGAAACCCAGGATTGGCAAATTGACGATTGATTTCGACAAGGTCCTTGGCAACGGTAGTGGAGGCACCTTTGTGTTTGGTGGCAAGTGGAATGTAAGAAGTTCCCTTTAACTTCGTTATGCATTTATTGACCATGCCCAAGGAACGCGATGTCGCTGTCAAACGCATGCTTCCTCAGTACTTTGGTCTTGCCGAACAAGAAGTCAAACTTCTGCAAGAAAGCGACCTTCATCCCAATGTCATTCGCTACTTTGACGATGAAAAGGACGAACATTTCCTATACATCGCTGTAGAGTTGTGCCAAGCTAGTCTGTGGGAGCTGTACAGAGACGGCAGGCCCGGTGACGACAGGTCTCCCGAACAAATTGCTCTCTTCAACGAGCTCAACTCCGATGCACCCAGAGCCTTGTATCAGCTAGCGCTCGGCCTAAACCATCTACACAGCTTGAGGATCATACATCGAGACGTCAAACCCCAAAACATTCTTATCGCCTATCCTCAAAGAAACCAGAAATCGGGGCCTCGCTTAGTCATTTCAGACTTCGGCCTCTGCAAGACTCTTCCGGACAACGTCAGTACATTAGTCGGAACAACCGGCAACGCCGGTACAGTCGGCTGGAAAGCCCCAGAGCTGATCCTCCAGCCCAAAGAGCTCGAAGCCCGCCAAAACTCCAACAACGGCCATTCGCGCGACTCGTCCAGCTCTACCGACCCCGTCTCACAGGGCGTGAAACGTGCCGTAGATATCTTCTCCTTGGGATGCGTCTTCTTCTACGTCCTTAGCCAAGGCTCGCACCCCTTCGACGACGACGAAGGCTGGATGCAGATCCGCGAACTGAACATCAAAAAGAACAAAGCCAATTTCAGTCGCTTGGAAAACCTAGGGCACGAGTCGGAAGAAGCGATCCGGTTGATCGAATGGATGCTAGAAAACAAACCCGAAGACCGCCCCACCGCGCTCCAAGTCATGCAACACCCGTTCTTCTGGTCTGCAGAAAAACGACTCAACTTCCTATGCGATTGCTCGGATCACTGGGAGCGTGAGCCCCGCGACCCGCCCTCCGCTCAGCTCCTGACCCTCGAGGCCTTCATCCCCGAGGTGCTAGACAAGAAGCGCGACTTCCTGGGTAAGCTGGATCGGGCGTTCATTGCGAGCTTGGGCAAGCAGAGGAAATACACAGGCGACCGCATGCTAGACTTGCTGAGAGCGTTGCGGAACAAGAAGAACCACTATGAGGATATGGATGAAACGGTGAAGGCGAAGGTTGGGCCGCTGCCAGCGGGGTATTTGGAGTACTGGACTAGCAGGTTTCCGAAGCTGCTGATGGCTTGCCATTATGCGGTGACGCAGTGTGGGTTGCAGAATGAACCGAGGTTTAGACCGTATTTTGAAGGGAGTGGTGGGTTGTAGTGGTGCCGTGCATGGCGGAGGAGCATCGTTCGCAGGCGCGTTGCGTGTTCTTTGTCTTGGATGTATTGTTGGGCGTGGAGTATCTAATTTCGTATTGTTATGTTTCTGCATGAAGGCTTGGGATATCAATTCGAATACTCGAACGTTCTGGTCACGATGGCCCCCTTTGTGACATAGCACGTATTGCGACGGAATAGGTGCAAAGAGTCCTGGATCTGAGCGCGTGAAAGGATCTTACTAGACGGGGTGTGCCATGCGATAGGGGGCATGTTTGTAGTTACTTTATATACTTACAGCATGAAAGGAAAGGGTGCAAGATGACTGGTACTTCTGGGTGATTCTGTTCTCATTACTGGGTTCACTATATGAAGTCGAAGGTGGAACTATTTCGATAAAGGCGCGGTTTTTAGGCTGCGTTGATGGTATTTTTGTTGTACTGTATACTATGTGGGAGCACGCCCGGGTGTGCTAATTTCTATGGGGATATGAGAGCCCGATGGACGGGCTTGACTTCTTTGGAACTACGATGAAGTGGCCAAATTACGCTTTGAATAGGTTGAGCAAAGTATGTGAGCCGCTCAAAGTTGTAGTAATTTGACGCTTTTGCGACCTTTTAAAATTTGGGGGTCTTGGGTTTATAGTTCCGGATGGGACTAAGTGGTTTCGGGGTGTATAGTTGTTCGTAAGAGACGGCTATGACATAACATTAAAATAAGACATAAAAAGATTAGTGGCATGCGTTAGTAGGCTTGTAAGAGTGTGTTGAGCCCTCCGAGCCTCTATCCAGGACTGGGGCGAACAAGTGCGGTGTAGTAGTGGTCATTATGCCAACTTATTTATGCGCAGAGTCTTCAATTGCCCATTTCGAACCAATGTAGCTCAATGAGGATCGTACATGGATGAGGAGTGGGGTCGTGGATAAGCTGTGTCGATGTGGCGTATTCAATTCTGCTATTTCATCAGAGTCAGTAGCAATGGGTCTCGTAATCGCAAAAGACTTCCGAGCAGCTATCACAAACACAGTTAGCAAACTTGGTCATTACTATGGAATGATGAATACGCATACACCACTCGTTTCTGTCGAGTCCTGATTCTGTGCTAGAAAATTATAGCATTTCAGGCCACCCGGCTCAGCTAGCCGCCAGGATTTGAAGCCGTGTATTTGGGTGGGTATGTACGAGATCCTTCGCTCAATAGGCTTCTTGCTTTCGGCGCCTTCCAGAATCGCTGTGTCTTTCGCGGTCTCGGTCGTCACGTTTGGAGGATCCACGGTCGTAGCGGTCTTCTCGATGACGATCGTCTTTGTAGCGGTCCTCCTTATGTCGACGCTTACTGCTGTCGCTATCCCGCTCGTCGTAGTCTCGTCGTTTCCTCTTGCGGTCTGTGGAAGTGCTTCTATCCCTGCGAGACGAACGATGCTTGCTGCCATAGTCTCGGTCTCTGCGCTTCTCTCTATCCCTGTCTCGGTCTCGGTCTTTCTCCCGGTCATCCCTTCGCCTATGGCTTCCACTCCTTTCATCGTCCTCTTCGTATTTGTGCCGACGGGAAGACTTCTCCGTTCGGTATTCGAGTTCTCGAGCTGGCGATCGTTTCTTCCGTTCTGGAATTGGCTCAAGCTCCACCAGTTTCTGCTGTTCCTGCCGCTTCTTCAACTCCTCCTCTGTCAACGTCTCGCCCGTCACCTTGTCGCGTAACAGCACCGGATTGTACGGCTGATCCACCTTCCGCTTTCCTTTTGCCCCTTTGCCCCACTCGCCCAACTCAATTCCCGCCGCAGCCTCCTCTTTCGCTCCTATTCCCAGCAAAGCTGACCGGCGAACGGGACGTTTCTCCGGCTTCGTCTTCTGCTGGACTGAGTCGTCGCCCTTCCAACCGAATCCACGAAGGTACGCAGCACCGAAGTCCTCGATAGCCACCTTGGCATAGTCTTCAAGCGAAGGAGCTGGCGGCGCATTCGAGAAGTCGTTCTTGAACGCCGTTCCCTCATCCATAGAAATAACCAAGTCCGACTCGGGGCGTTGACCGAGCAGAGCCTGCAACGCAAGCTGGTCTTCCGTTGGCCTCTCCGGCTCTGGCGCGTCCAACATTGGTTGTTCTGCCTTTATAGTATCCGCAGCCTGCTCCGCAGCAGGCTCCCGTTGGTCTGCTTTGACCACGGTCAAGCCAAACGCGATCTTAGAGGCGCCGGTGTCCACTTCTTTAACATCAGCACTACGTTGTCCTTGTCCAGCCCCGTCGGGCAGACGACCGCGTTGCTTCTTCCGCGATTCGGCGCGCCAGTCTCGATTTGCTTGCGGTGCGATGACTACAGGTCCGGTTGTGACTACTGGTGCTGAGGTGTCGATTGCGCCTCCTGCGGCTGCGTCGAAAGCTGACACCACCTGCACCGAGGGTGCAACTATGGCCTCATCTTCAAAGCCTTGTAGAGCTGCGGCGGGTCTCTTGACGGTGGCTGGGGCGGCCGTCTGCTTCTTTGCGCCTAACGAGAGCGAGAACTTCATAGCCGGTTTTTTGTCGGCCATGGTGGAGGTTTGGCTCCGCCGGGGAGAGTATCAAGCGGAGGTGTTGGAGGTGAGAGTGTTTGGATTTGGTCGTGGTTGAGTGAGGGACGAGGTTGCCAGCCTGCGGTCGCCAGAATTTGGAAAGGGCTTGGCATAAGTTGGTGGTCACGTGAGCTCCTACATACCTTTTGCCAAATTCTCGTCTTTGAAACTCCAGCCTGCTAGACAGACACCTTTAGGTATCGGAAGAGATTAGGTATTTCAAGAGCATCTGTTCGTACTTCAAATATGGTTTTGTCCGGACTTTGTACAATATCGCGCACACGAATCTTTGGGCTGGTGACAGAAACAGTAACAGCAAGCTTAACAATACCCTTACGATAGGAGTCAGACCCCACATGGATTCAGTAGTTCTCTATCAAATGCTCCACCTCATGAGCCTAACTCATCGTCCTCTCACTCCTCCAGGCAGAAATCATGCAGTGTTGATGTGGGGGGCCCCTCCAACCAGTCAGCCCGCACCCCTGACACTAGACACACTCCGCTGGTCTCCCCACATGCGGCTTTTCTCCCACACGAACAGAATGCTGCCTGACCCCGCTTCTCACCCAGATTATCAATACAAAATAATTTGCGGCGACATCAAAACACAACGGTTGTGTAGTGTAGTGGTTATCACTCTGGATTCTGATACCGGCCCTCATTGTCGTTCTTAAGTTCCAGCAACCCCGGTTCGACTCCGGGCACGACCTCAATTTTTGCATCTGTTTTGCTCTAGTCATACAATCATAGAGGCCATCATCAGTGGTAGGATATGATGGGAATGGCAGTGGTGGGGTGGTGGGTGAATGCGAGGGAATTCTTGTCAGGTTTTCTGCTTTTTGGTTCAAAGTGCACCCTGGAGGTAGAAGTGAGGTTACTATACATCGTGAATTAGGCGTACATGGAGTAGTATAATCTTTACAGAGTCTTGTAAACCGCCACCTCACCGATTGCTATGTTGCTCGGTATACACGCGTCGGAAAGACATTTGGTGATTAAAGTTATGTTCGCAACCTTCGTTCAATGTTCAAGCATATCTTTGAGCAGTGTAATGCCACTTCTGGCTCTCACTTATCATCAAGAACACACAGCATGCAGCGAAGCAGATGGTGATGAAGATAGATATACATGTATATACGGCGTGCCGTAGTTGTACTAAAGGAGTGATATAATTACAGGAAACCCAAACTAACCCATCGCAGAAATGCAGCAAATTATCCATGATATTACACGTCCTATAACACCTTCAGGTGTCGAACACTCCAATTAACGCTCCACCCAATGCAATGCAGATTACTCTGCGAAGATCTAGCAGTTGTAGGTCATAGTAAGGCCGGCATCCTTAGTGTCGGCAAAAGCAACGGAGCCAGCATCAGTCTCGCTGCCGATAGACATGGTGTAGGACATAGTCGAGGCGCAAGTGAAGCTGTTGACCACGAACTTGGTGGCGGCTACAGGGCTACTGAGGAAGTTGATGGTACCGACTTGCTGCTTGGATGCGCCGGTGCCGGACCAGAGGTAGACTTGGCTGTTGCCGGAGCTGGTGATGGGGTAGCCAGCCGGGAAGTTGACCTCAAGCTGGCAGCCGTATGAGCCTGCAGGCACGTTGTTGAAGGTGATGGCGTCGTCGCGCTTGTTGGCGGCACCGGCGTCTTGGCTGATGCTGTAGTTGATCGGGAAGCCGATGGACTCAGGGTAGGCCACGCTGCATGCGCGAGCGTTGAGGTTGGAGTCCGAAGGAGTGGGGGCAGCAGAGACTAGAAGAGCGGAGCTCAGGATAGCAGAGGCGATAGTGAGGTACTGCATTTTGATAGAGGAGTGGTTGTTGTTTTGGATGATAGAAAGAATTGGCAATGAAGTAGAGCGAGAGACTTTGAAGTAGACAGAGATACTGAAGGAGTTGTTGAGTTGTTGAGATGCTTGATGTGGATGATGATTCTACACCGCGAACCAGAGTCGTCTTTATACTCGAGACATCAAACCGTAGCTACAGATTCTATAATTACCTTTGCCTTGTGCTCTCTAGCATGAGACATAGCTGGATGGTAGGAAGCTGATGGGCCGAGTCGTCACCACCGTGATTACTGCTACGGTGCCAATCTGTAATGGTCAGTCACATAGGGGGAGGTCGAAGCATAGAGCGCGATTGGGCGGTCTGAGGTTGCAGTCAGATGATTAGCCACAATTTGCGGCATGTGGATACGACGAGAAGAGCGTGGACCGGCATAGTGGTGGAGGCGCTCCGGAAAAGATGATGGGTGCAGTTGCACAGCCTCACGAGCTGCTCTTCGTCCCGGCTTACGGAGAGACACCACCTGAGGACCCTGCGCCACTCCATTGAACGAGAATTTCCCGTATAGGCTGCTGACTGGAAAGAGGACGCGAGGGCAACCTTGGAGGGTTTTCATCGTCAGCTCCACTTACGTACGAAGTGGTAACAGCACGCGTAACTCCGGTTAAAGTTGGCCATGTTCAGCGTTGCAGTATTATTTTGCCGAGCCTCGCTTGACAAGCTATTTCTGGAGCCTCTGTTCAGCTTGAATAGAGCGCGTCTCCAGGTAATGGATTAGGCGGGCTGAGGAAATGGTCGACGATTAGGGCGGTGAGTGAGAAGGTTGGGAGCGCAATACGACGAGGCCGCTCGTGGATGTTTGCCAGCTCCGAAAACGACCGCACCATCAAATCCTAAGAATAGCATTCAACCTCTACCTTACGCCACTAACGAGTCAAATAACGCGGTGTTCTTTGTTTCACATCGGTACTATTGATGATGTTTGGTTCGCCCCTTCCATCGACTTCCGCGCTTATCTCGTGATCTTCCCGATGCCGCCTCCTGAGATCACGGCCCCTTGCCACCAGTGCTTACAGACAGCCATACGCGGAATATGGGGTAAGCTATTCGGCAAGAAATTTCAGCAGAGACGGTGCCTTTCGACTGCTCGGGAAGTCGTTGCGAAGTGCTCTGGATGAGCCATATCACGAAAGGGGTCATCGTGACCAGGAGGTTCGAGTATGAGAATTGATATTCCAAGCCTTCGTCCAGCGACTGTTTTCCACGTATTTTAAAAGGGTAAACACGACAAAATGGTTCATAAGATATACCACATTTAGCCACCGACTTCGTACACAGAAACTTCTCAATCCAACCGCGCACAGCTCCACCTCACTTCCATCCACACTGAGGAAACCACCAATGAATCGAACCGTTCTTGTATATCTATATACAACTATCTTACAAGATCTTGCACACTGCCAACCCTCCACACCTCATGAACCATTTAGCGTGAAGGTGCGAGCGAGCCGCCCGCGCCCAACCCTCGCTCATTATCGTAAACCACCAAAAACGCCCCCATCTTAAAAGCTAACAAACCATTTCGAAAAACGCCCCGGGTATGTTTAAGACGCAGGGAGAGAGAGTTCATTTCACTTTACGTACCGCTATGCAATGTTGCCCGCCAAACCAATAAACAATGCCTGCGCGGCGAGCTGGAGCGTCCAAATCCCAACCTTTTTAAAACGGCGTTTGCGGGCGCTGTTGTCGTCGAGGACGTCGCGGGCGAAGGCGTCGTACATCTATTCGCAACGTTAGAAGATGGATTTGGGCCAAGGGGGGGGGGGGTTAGCTGTAATTACCTCCCGAGACAGATCATCCATAAGCCCGCTGTCGTAGACGGTCCAGCTGCCATCGAATTCGCTGGCGCGCTTGACCACCCGACAGTTGACGGGGATGAATGTCTTTTTCGAATTGATGTACGCGACGATGGGCCGCACGAGGGCGTTGTTGATGTAGCCGATATCCCTGGTGAGGATGGGGACTGAGGCGCGTACATCGTTAAGATGGACGCGGAGATCCATGATGATGAATCTGTTGTCCACTGGTTCTCCGGTTATTGCTTGAGCCGATTGAAGGGGCTGCTGGGTGTCTTTGCCGTCGGCATTGTCGATGACGTTCCGGTGCCCGTTGGAGGTCACTGTAGCCTCAACGCGGTCGTAGAAATCAGACATGTATTTCGCGATGCTGTCGTCGTTCTCGTTGGGAATCATTATGTCGGCTACGATGTCCACATTTCCTTCGTGAATCCACGAAAATGGGCCCTCATAGCCTCGGTTGAGATGGTCGATATTGAGAGCATCGATCCGTATACGGCTATGCTTTTTCCAGCTGATGCCGTCTTCGGTCTCTCGTCCCTCGATCAGTTGAGCTCCAGTATAGTTATGCGTCTGCCTTGGATGGATAGTGAACAGAGAATTGTCAAAAGACCCAGACATCATGTTTGCCGACAAGAAGTCATAGAAAAGCCATTGCTTCCGCAGCTGTGGGAGGTCGCAGGAGAAGATGCTAACGGAGAAAGGCCGGAAATTATTCGTCTGGTAAACGGTAACTAGCAAGTCCTCCATCTTGAATGAGTCCAACTCAAAATCTCCGGGCTGATGTTCATGTTTGTATGTCCTAGGGTCAATGTACTCCTCTGGTGGACGCACTGATGTCCTGTCCACGACTCCTCGGATACCCTTCACTTCAACATCTTTCAGAAGCCCTTTGCCATTGAACCACTTGGCAAACGACAAAGTCACATTCACAGTATCGATAGAAACATCGAACTGTGTGTAATTGGTGTCTTCTTCCTCTACGACGCCATTTGCTATATCCCGCTCCTTCTGGGCGATTGCTGCAGCCTCGGCTGCTGCCGATATTTGAGATCCTTTAGTGACATTGGATTGACCTTGGCCAGGCCTTCTCGAGACGAATACTCTCTTGAATGAGATGACTCCATCGCGCCACTTAGGAACGACGGCAGACTCGAAAACGACTTTGATGCCAGAGGAACTAGTGAGGTAGTTTCCAATCCATTTAGCCAGGGACTCTTCAGCAAGGGTTAGCAAAGTTGCTTTCTAGCACAACGGTGTACTTGCCTTGCGCAAATACTGTGTTTATCAAAAAGATAGTCAGCGAGAAAAAGGTAGTAGTTCCAACAATGATCCAGATGATGTGGCCGAGGAGTATCCAGGAAATGAAGGCGCTGATATCATCAGTGTTAAAAGGCCGAGAACTCCTAATAGTCAACCATTTGAAATGCACTTTCATTCGAGACCAGAAACCAGTCGCTGCTGCGAGAAGCTCATCTTTGGTAGGCCTGTGGAAGTGAGGCAAAGATTGGGGTATCCGCTCTAACAGGGGCTTGCTAGCGGGATGTGAAGCGGTTGGTGGAGGCTCTGAAGGCTCCTTTGCCGGTGCTTTCGAAGCGGTATTTGGTGCTGGCTTGGCTTTGGTAACTGATGCATTTGAAGCGGTTGCCGCAGCCGCCTTGCCACTGCCAGAGCTCCTGTATCTCCGACCACTTGTATCTAAAAACTTGCTCGCTTGGAAAGATTGGTGGTGAAGATGCCTTCTCCATGCTAATGAAGCCGCTGTCGTCACTGGTTCATGTCCTGACGCGAAGATATTGCTAGGTGAAACAACAGAAGCTACTGGGAGACGGCGGAAAGCACGGGGAGAGCTTAAAGGGGTATATCGAGGTATGGATGCGGTCGTGGGTATGCACAGGGCGCTGGCTGTATGGTGGCTGGGTGTGTTCAAAGAGGTCTGGACGAGCTTGAGAGAAGACGGCGGTGGGAGGAGGGATTGCGAGTCGGCGACTGTGCGCCGTAAGAGAGCGCCGACGGAGGGAACTACATTGCGACTCATGATACCGGAGAGGCCAACATGGCT